ATTTGACTATGCATATTCTCCTCAACGTTTTCTCCACATTTCTTATATATGGTATGAAGAAAAGTTTAAACATCAAGAAATATTAACCTTTGGTGATCACTTCCTTCATTTTTATGACCTGTTTGTTTGATTAGGCAGTAACATTGTAAGGAAACATTTAATGCAGGGAACTATTACTGGGCCTGTTGCACAAACTACCAAGACACCATCACTGGGGCCTAAAGGGATAACCAAGAACTAAAAAATTATTATTTAAGCGTAAGCTTATTGCACAACAGTTTGACCTTATTAACTCATCAGACAAGTGATTAGACGGTTCCCAAGAGCTTGTCCAGGCCGGCCAGTCTTTCCATTTTACCAGATATTCATCATCCTGTATAAAGGTGAAATTACACATCATCTTAGTGCTTACTAAGTTTCGCTTATAGCTCTGTTTAATAGTAAACACATTGAATTACTTGCAGATGAGCTTCATATAAATTAATTCATACCTCCTTACTCGACGATTTCCGCTTGCTGACAAGTCTCTCCACTTGATATAATTTCGCCCCGGGTTTATAATTTCTTTTGCATGTAGAAAAGGTTCAAAATCCGCCGAAGAAAGATTATTCAGAGCAACATAATTTACGCAGTCTTTGCTTCGAACCGATCTTGCCATATTCTTTCACGTAATCCGATACCTCCGGGCATGCTCCGTTCAACTAAGAGTACACCGCATTCAGAAAGTATCGTGTGAACAAAATGACTCCGATTTCTGGTAATGCAAAGCGTGGCAGCCGTTGTTTCTGTTAGTTTCTAGAAATTCTTGGCTAGTTTTTAGTTATTTCTGAGAAGGTGAGCGTCATCCATACAATATTTCGCGATTGGTCGATTTTTCAGTTTGACGCCGGCACAATACATTTGCGTGATCGATCATATCTCAAAATGTAAAGCTCATTTATTCAAAGAAAATTATGGATGCCAAAAAGCTGCAGGAAGATTTGCGCTGCTGTGTGTGTATGAACACATATACTGACCCGAAGCAACTGCCATGTTTACATTTTTTCTGTCTTCAATGCTTGAACGATATTCAACGGCAAAGTAAGGATTGCGACATCATAACATGTCCAGAATGCCGTCTAGAATTTTCTGTCGAGAACAGTGGAAATCTGAGCGACCTTCCGACAAACATTTGTGTCAGCAACATGCTCAACGTTGTGGCTATAAAAGAGGGCAACATAACAGAAGTGAAATGTGGAAATTGTGACAAGAGGAGTTCGAATTGTTTCTTCTGCTTCCACTGTTGTTCATTCTGGTGTGAGGAGTGTGTTGTTGCTCATAATACAATCAAAACTAACAGAGGACATCGTGTTCGTCTTGTAAACGATTTGCGAGACTACGACTTCAAAGAGCTCTCAAGGCGAATCGTGGGACCTGCATTCTGCTGCAAGAAGGACCACGAAAACGAGGAATTGAGATTCTTTTGTAAGAATTGTGAAAGGGCCATATGCAACATTTGCATCGTTACAGACCACAAGCGTCACACACTGATGCTCTTAGAAGACGCTGTTGATGAAGCGAAGGCAGAAGTCGAATCTTTGATTAATTCCAAAAAGAAACTAATAGAAGAAAAGAAGAGCAAAATAAATGAAGTCGAAGAAAAATGTACCAAATTTCAAAATAAAACATCGATCGCGAAACACAGCGCACGTGCGTTTGCAGATGATATGATCGCGGTCATTGAGGCGAAGACGCAAGAAATGTTTGAGAAAGTGGATAAGAATTCTAAGGAAGTATTCGATTTTTTTAAACGCCAGCAGTCCTGTCTGGAAAAACAAATAGAAGTAATTGAGAAAGATTGCAAAGAAACTGAAGAGTTTGTAGAACAAAGTGCAAGCGTTGAGCTTCTACGGTACAAATCGAAATTGGAAAAATCACCTTGTGTCTTTGAACATGAAACTGGAAGCCACGATGACCTATCAGTATTTTGCCACTTACTTTTAGAAAAGAATGATACATTAATGGATGCAGTAAAGTCTCAAGGAATTGGTTCAGTCAAAACTCTCCAGACCTTGACGTCACCTGATGAGTCTTGCGTTGAAGGGAAACGAAAATGCGGAAAATCGACAGTTGGGTTTAAAGAACGGTTTGTTATCACCACGAAAAACGTTAGAGGCGAACAGTGTTACACAGAGGATGACAGAATAAGAGTAAAGGTTGTAAATTGGGACAGCCGTGATAGTGTCACGACAGCGCAAGTCCGCGATAATCAAGATGGCACCTACTTCATCACTAATTTGTTTGCGCAAACAGGAAAGCACGAAATCTCAGTAACTATAAATGAAGAGCATGTTCGTGGGAGTCCTTTTGCTGTAGTTGTCAAAGCAAGAAGCGTCACCCCTGTATCAAAATTTGGAGAGCAAAGGTTGCATCCTGGAAGCCTCAGCAAGCCTTGGGGCATTGCAGTGAGCCCCTGTAATGAAATAGCAGTGACTGAAAGCAATGCGAACAGTGTTAAAATATTCAGCTACAATGGGACATATTTGCGGTCTTTTGGAAGAAAGGGCAATAAGGAAGGAGAATTTTACTATCCTACAGGTATAGCTTTTAAAGATGGTGAGAAAATTTTAGTATCAGACACTTTTAACCATCGCGTTCAATTTTTTTGTGACCATGGCAATTACCTCGGTCAATTTGGGGGAGAAGGAAGTCTTGATCACCAGCTAAAGTATCCACACGGCTTGTTTGTGGACAGCGTGGGTAATATCATAGTTGCTGATTCAGGCAATAAATTAGTCAAATTCTTTTCTCCTACTGGTTTTTGTTTAAAGAAAATAGGCGAAGAATACCATCTTAAAAAACCATTCAACTGTATTCAGCATGACAATCTGTTTTTGATATCGGACATTTCTGAGCATTGCATCAAAGTATTTGACAGTAAGGGACAATTTCAATACAAAATAGGAAAAAGAGGACAGGGGGATGGGGAATTCAATGAACCGTCCCATGTCTCAGTTTACAGACCAGGTGAACTGATAATTTGTGATTCGTTAAATCATAGAGTTCAAATATTCAAATTAAATGGTACATTTGTCTTAAAATTTGGGGAAAAGGGAGATAACGCAGGAGAATTTAAGAGACCAACGTCTTCAGCCGTTCTCCGTGATGATAAGATTGTACTGATAGATTGTTTCAATGACCGCATACAAATACTCAGCGAGTAGAGTCTCCCACCATATACTTTCAGATATTCAGTGAGCTTGCACATGTATCCTGACCTAATTTCTAAATGCTTTCGGGGAAAATTACAAAGCCTGTTATATAAATTTATCTTTCAACTTATCGTGCTGTGAGCTTTCTTTTTGCCTAATAACAATTTTGAGAATTCTTAGCTCGAAAGGATAATTTCGTTTGAGATGATGGCTTGCATTTCCTCATTCATAAATTGGAAAGAAAAACTAGGTCAGATGTTATTACAATTTATTTACAGAAAAAATAAATGTCCCTTGTTACAAAAATAACATGTACATTTTCAGTATTTTCACTTGCTGGTGTTATACGAAGATATGTGCAAAGTTAATCAGAATAAAGTACTGCAAAAATCTATCCAAACCATGATTGATTATTCTTTAACATAGTTCATAAAAGCCAGAAAGGTAATTATAACATAACCAAAGTAAAGCGCGCGCTCTGATTGGTCAATTTAGCGTCCCCCATTTGCCCATGGGTGTACGCTGCTGACGTGAGCAAATGCAAAGACTATTTTTCCGCGCGCGCTTGTTTTTTTCTGGTCACGTAAGATTTGTTAAATAAAAGGGAACTCTTTAGCTACAATGTATCAATGTTATGTTATAAAACAAATGGTAAACACCACAGCGTACACTATTGAGTTATGGATGCACTTGGGAGGTTTGCTAAGCACTCAAGAAGCTAGAGTCGCTCTCGGCTATCGCCTCGAGCGACTCTTACGCTTCTTTCGTGCTTAGCAACCTCCCGCGTGCATCCATAACTCAATAGTGTACGCTGTGGTGTTTACCATTTGTTAAGTATACATTGGTAATGTCCTGAGATAATTCTAGCAGTTTTTTTGCATCCTCTGGTCAGAACAGGTTTCAATTTGGTTTTCTTTGATTGCTTGCCTCATTTTGAATTTTCTCCTTTCTTTGCTGTCCTGTCATACATCTGGACTCAAAATTCCAAGTAAAGCATTCTTGACGTTTCAACTTCGTGGTGCGCTAAATGACTGACACAACCGTATTAAATACTTTTTCGAACGTTTAAAAAAGTTACAATAGCAGAGTAATAATCAAAGTAGTTAACTAAGAGGTGTTGCACCTCTTTAGTGTTCAGTAAGCCAAAAATCTTTAATATGCGAGATTTGCTTTAAATATTGATTGATTTAGTCTCGTTCAGGCCAGCCCGCAAAATAAAATGTACCAAAATAAAGGAACTTTATATAACTCCTTGGTTACGACAAGTCTCTCTTTTTTACCAAAAGGTATCCGGTACCTTAAGTGATAAAGCAAAACAAGACAAAACAAAACTAAACAGAATGAAAACGAAAGCAAAAACAAACAAAAAAATAGCGTACTGTAACGACGCTGATGTGCGATAAATCAAAGGGAGGGAGACAGTGGATAGTGCTGGGTCTTTGGGAATTTCTTAACTTTTTCATTACAGTACTCATGTCTTTCTCACACGCATAAAATGTTTAGCAAAGAGAATGTTACTTCTCAGCACTTCATCAATGCAATACAAAACCAGCCACTCACTGAACAGGAATACTTATATCAGATGTCAAATCCTGAATCATGGAGTTTGCTTAGCCGTTCAGAGAGCAGAGTTCTCTCATCTTTCAATTTTAACTTGTCTTGTTTCTTACTTCCTTTCTGGCATAATTTTTTGATCAGAACAATTAAGCCACGGATAAGTCGTCTTCCTTTGCTTGCTTGGACCTTTTCGCGTTCTTATATAATCCCAAGTGGAGATGAGGGACGCAACAACGACCCATGTTGGCAGGTACACTGCTTCATTCCGACAGAACCATATTTGCTGTCTCTACTTTCACTCGCCTCGGTCGAAATAACTGACGGACTGTCACAAGTGGAAAATTGCTTCCTAATCGATATCTGATCGTCGCTGCCGATGTTCTGACTATTATAGAATCGGACTATTTCCGAGAGATAACCAAGATCCTCGCTTCCCGCTCGATCATCGTCATTGTGATCAATGATGATGATATCTCCTGGTTTGACGTTTATTTCTTTGGTTTCGTCATCGCTTCCTTGCAGTTCTATTGTCACGCTCTTTATTTTGTTAACTTCATCTTCGTCTTCTCTCTTAACCATAGCAAATTTTCTCCTCCTTAGTTTTTTCTTGCAGAGATGAATTGCTAACAGAAACAAAAGTAAAAAAACAGTGGCGCCAGCCACTGCCGACAAGAATACGACCAGGGTGTCGCGTGATTTTTCTGAAAACAACAATCAAATTTGAGATTTAACGAATGAAGAAGCTAGATATTACATGCCTTGTATTACAGAGTACATAGCAATTACTATTTTTAACAGACAAAGTTACGAAGAGAAAATGATTATGAAGTTGTAACCCGTTTTGTAATGGGCGTGGAACAAAATTGATCATGTTTACGAGTGACCAACATGGATACATGTTGCTCTAAGTTTGGATACTCACTCCGTCCTTGCCAGCAAAAAGACTAGAGAGAGGTAAAGCGGGTTGAATGTATATCACTACATACATACATACATAAACTTTATTTCCATTCGGATTTATGAATAGCACTAGACGCGCTAGTAGGGACCTTAAGAAACTAAGACGGCGACGGCAACGAGGACATGGAAAACAAGAGATCTAATTGGCAGAACAGTTACTCAGCACGTGCAATTTTAAACGTTGTACATTTCATAGCCGTCCTATGCAAAACAACAACGTGAAATCGCCAAAATATGCGTCGTCTGCGAACCGAAACCGCGACGGAAAATTATTTTAATTTCCATTTGGAACTCAGCGGCTACTTTTTTTCGTCATGCGGAAGTTGAGCTGTGGCGCTATATGAGACAGTAAGCTCCTGCAGCCATTTTTGAAATTCTAACTAAGAGCAGAAATTCATTTTTTAATCGAAGTATTCCTTGGCGTCGCCGTCGTGGTTTCTTAAGGTCCCTAGTATCTCCGAACATATAACTACAAAACAAATGACAATAAGTTTAAAATCGAAAGACTCATATGAAACCTCATATAAAAATGCTAATAATTATATACTAATCCCCACTAGATATATAACTCCTAATTGCACGTTTAAAAGCGGCTAGAGTGTCCGATATTCTTAGTTCATCTGATAAGCTATTCCATGCAGAGGCAGCAAGATACCTGAAAGAGTGAAGTCCAAAAGTTGTGGTCTTCATCGGTGGTATCTGTAATTTCCTTTTACCAATAAAATCTTATGCACTTTGACTGCGCTCTTTGAGACGCAGTCAAAGCCCTTCTCAGTCATAGTCCTTCTCCGACGAAGGGCTATGACACTCGAAACGTCAGCTGTAGAAACTCTTTACGGTGGCTAATTCACATTATCAACTCATTTAACATAACTACAAGTAAAATATCTAGTTATACCCCCCCTCCTCCACAAATGCGGTACCAAGTTCCTATAGAACCTCCCCCTTTTTATTCATTGCTTATCTTAGTTTCTGTTATCTTGCATGATGCTAGGGAGGATAGTTTGATATTGATTGTGATATCGTTAACAAGTCTATAACGCTTGAGCCTCACTCAATGTTTTTGATGGGGTAATTAATAATTTTTAGAAAAAGATGATGTTTAAATTTCCGTCATAATTATCAAGCTCATAATGCCTTAATGTTCTGATATTAAATTATGGTCAAGTCTAGCACTTATCTCATGGGCTTATTGAGTTTGAACTGTAACATGAACCGCAGACGTTTATTCAACTTTAAAAGATAAAATTACCACCAGTTAAAATTTAAATGTATGATTGTAATGACAGGTTCATTTACAGGTTTAATTGCATAAGAAACCTTCAGGAAAAAAGCTAAATGGTTTAAAATTGTTGACTCATATCTGAATAAAAATAAGAAAAGCAGAAGGTTTTGGTAGATTTTTTTTTTATTGCTGCCGGGAAAGTACTTTTCAAGTTTTGTTTTTGCAGTTGTTACAGCAGGATAATACGCTTCATCGTTTTTTTACAGGATAAGATTTTCCCAATGGTTTCTTCATAATTATAGTTACCTCAGTCAATGGGAGTGGCACGGTAGACAAGGTAATGTAAAGTCATCTTAATTCAGATTTCTTCTTCATTTAATTAGACTTGGGAAGGTATAAGACTTGGTTAACATTATGGTAACAGTTGTTATACCGTAATTTAGATTTCCCTCTATTTTTTTTTTACATATAGTTTGTTTTGTTAATTTCTGTTAAGATTTGATGATCACCTTACTGACTGGTTGATTTATTGATTGATCTACCACTGAAGTGCCACTTGCTCTAACATCGCATTCACCGTTTGCTCGACAAACACAAGCGGTATCTGCACGAACGAAATTTTTGCACCATGTAAAGAATAACATGGTTACTTTATTGATACACGCAGTAGCTTTCCTTCATACTTCATTGCCAAGAGAAAAAAATAATCCATTATTTTCTCTTTTCCATTGCTCAGAATTGTTTCCGATGTAGTACATATATTCAGCTAATAAATAACCTTTGGATATGTGTTTGTGGGGAAAAATTTTCTCCCAAATACAACTTTTTTGAACCGGTAGGGACAAAAGATTAGTATGGTTATATAACTTCGCCAGATGAAACAGGTTGGCGATTTACGCGCACGCAACCGCTCTCGTTAACGTGAATGTAACGTTAGTGCCTAAGTCCAATTTTTCGTACCTGAAATGAACCTGTATGTGACGAAAAGAGATCTCAGCAGGGCAAAAATCACGCCCTCCTCACCTTCCCTGCCTGAAGCCTTTGAATCTGGAGCTTTTGGAGGCGGCTTTGTTTTCTTCGTGGTCCAGGTGGACATCCAGCCAAGAGTGGTAGATTTTCTTGTTGGTACATATTCTCCCGTTGTGTTAGATCGATCGGTTCCGTTCATGTTGTTTATCGAACTATTTTGGCCCGCTGTGCTGTCTGTAGAACTCGCTACCCGGAGTCTTTTTGTGGTTGGCGACTTTATGGTTACTGGAGTTGTTCTGGTAAGATGAGGTCTCGTTTTTGACTTTTTTGACGTTGGTGTCGGAGTCCAGCTTTCGCCAGGAACTAGACATGAATATAATAGGTTGAAATTTAAGTAATAACTGATGGGGTTTGCCTTGACTGCTGAAAGTTCCTATCGACTTGGTTGAGCTTTGGGACAGGCTGAGGGTAACGCTCTTCTGAGGACTGATGTAAACGAATCATCCAGAACACCGTATGTAACTGAGGGATTGATTTAGACTGTGATCTGTACAGTTATTCGATATGAGCAATAAAGGTATTCCGCCACACTTTAATGGAAAGTATGAAAGTAAGAGTATGGATCTCCCTTTTACCTTTTTCATGTTATGTCGGACCCAAAATCGAATTATAAGGTATTCTCACTTGATAAAAACCTGCCTGACAGTATTATTTAATATCTACTGCTGTACTCCCGATACCCAAGTGCTTCCCTAACACACTTCGAAGAATTTCCACGTGTAGACAATGTTTCAGTCCTATGCAACTTCATAGGGTAGTTGACCTCCAGCTTCCTGAATAAAGGAAATGGAATGGTATATGAAGTGCACACACACAAAAAAAGAAATCTCACTTGGACTTACCACACCCGTAAATAACATCCAGATATTTGTATGTGCCGGGGCAAGGATCTCGAAAAAATGAACTTTCTGCTTTTATAATACACCGTTTTTTATTGCCACACTCTGTTGTAACTTTTAAGAGCACACCCTCTGCCTGACAGTTTAGGTCAGTGATATTCTCGTGTGGACATATAGAGCTCCCGCGTTCCAAACGACCGTATTTGGCGCCGTATATACGAATTATGAAGCCACTTCCACAGCGCAAGCGTAACTTCTCACCCTCGCACGCAAATCTTGACTTCACCGCATAAGTACCTGGGGTGAAAAATAAATGCGAAAAGAAATATTACTTAAGGTCATAAATTGTTCCTACTGAATGAGTAGGTTGAAAGCTAGAATGCAATGAAACAGCATGAGTGAATGATCCGGAGAAAACTGAGGCAAACAAGCAGAGTAGTGCTTGCTAGAACGACTCTGAATACAGGCCAGTCTGAACTTTCGCAACCTTGTAACATTTTATATATTTCTTCTTGAAATCTTCCGAGTAGCTTGACCCGAAGGCCTCGCTTTCGCGTACGCTATTAAGGAAACCGCTGTTCAAGTACACCGCGAACGCGGATCTGGGATAAGAGCTATTGATTTGTTCTCATTTTTCTCAAGTCAGGTGCGTACACTCCCTTCTATTTCCATGTTTTTATTTGTTTGATGACCTAAACTTAAAATGTTCTACAAGTAACGGTATGCCCTTTGTCGTTGCCAAGGCATCGACAAAACAAAAAAATTAAAGTTGTCTCTTTTTCTGAACAATTGCCACTTTGTAGCACCTTCAATCTATTGAAGTTTTGAGATGATCATCTGTTTGTAAAAATTTTAATTGTTCGTGCTAGTCAATTGCGTTTTCAATTGAGGGCTTCAGTAAAACATAGTACATTTTCGTTTTGGACGCAACTCGGAAAAAATCTTTGCTTGATTTTGCATTCTTATGGCTTGCGTTTGTAATGCAGTCGGCGCGTTCTTATGGCTTGCGTTTGTAATGCAGTCGGCGCGTTCGAACAGAAGGCAAAACGTGAATTGAATTAATTCGAATAGCTTTCTGCATATAGATGACGCCTGCATATACAAAGAGGCCTTGAGAAAAATTCCCTCTTTAAGTTTCAGAATTTTTAAGATTGATAGTTAAGATTGACTCGGGATACAAAACTATAGTAAACAAAGATTCGTGTCCCGAGGAGTAACGATCCCTGACAAACTTGCGCGGCGAACTCGACCCACTCCCCCACTCGTTTTTGAAATGGGGAATTCACTTCCCTCTCTTAATCTGCCTACCAGACTGATTGATAAATGTAAATACTATCGAAAATTTTAATTCACACTATCGCTCGTCAAACGATTACCTCACAAAAGGTTTGCCCCCATATTTAGTGCTAACTTTATTATCTGGTCATAGTGAGCATAGAGGTTATGTGATAGTGTCGTGCGCCGCACAGAAATTACATCATTGACTTTGATGTTTTTTTTAAGTAATGTAGCTGACTGAAAACCCGAGTAACTGAGGAACATCTGTTTCCTAAAATAACAAAAGAACCTTCTCCGAGTTGTTTTCCGGGATGGAGGACATTTAGTTCCTTCTTGGCCTTGGATTAATGAGCTCCCTTATTGTTTATGTCAGAGGACAATACTCCATTTATTTTTTTTTTAAAGTAGAAGAGGGAAGTTGTACTTCATTAACGTTTCCCGTAGCTAGCCTCTGATCAGTTTCGAAAGAATGTTTTCTCCATTGACAAAAATAACAAAAAATTTTAATTACGAGTAACTCTTTCGCTGAAGGTAATTTTTTTTCTAAGTCTATCGCTGTCTCGCTGGTAGTGAGGTATATAAAGGCTATAGGCTGTTAAAGAATATCAACTGTCATTTTAGGAAGAAACTAAAGAAAATGCTCGTCTTTTGTGCTTCCGACGTTTCCCGTTGAAACATTTTAAAACACGGAATATGATCAAACGATTTAAACTTCTTTATAAGGAATAAGCTCTGGAGAAATAAGCTGCTTTATACCTGACCACACGAAACTTTCGGTCAGAAACACATGCGCCTTATCAAAGGCCAATGATAAATAAATCCGTGAAGACGTCGCAATGCCAGTAATGATATATTTCTCTTATGCCCAGAAATGATGAAAAAGCACAAAATTAGCTGCTCTTAAAATCGCGTTAAAAATATAACGTAAACAAAATGGACTGTAGTTCAAAGCTTGTCAAGTTGTTGTCTATCCCGAGGTGTCTAAAAGACACGCCAATGCAAATTACAGCAAAAGCGCTGAAGCAAGATTCATCGGTCATGAGTCACGTCGCATTTTGATCTTGTTGCGATCGTAAACAACCGACTAAGAGAGTTCTAAAGCCATGATGCGATTTGATGCGACCTTGAGTGATGTGTTTATATTCTCAATGGGAGATTCAGTTAAAATCTCTTTGATCATTAGTGCTCTGCAAAGCCTGGTCTTGAGACATTCCCTTTCTGAGTTTGGTAGACAGACAAAATGTGGAAAGTTGCTTTAACAGCAGGCAGCTTATTCCACCACTTTTTTTTTTTTTTTTAAGATAGGTAAATTGGCCATCTGTTTCCTTACTTCGCCCTTAATGAAGGCCAAAAGGTTATCAGAAACATATTGGGGCTCATTCCAACTTGTTGATGCCGACTAATTGAAAGGGAGACCGAGATGTCTCATCGGCATACCTTACCTTGTAAAGCAAATGTTCTCTGTATTTACCTTCATTAAGAAACACCTAATTTGTATTAGAAAAGGTATGAGATAGTTAAAAAATGGAGCTAGAGTAACTGTCACGTTATTAACATCTGGCGATAAAAATTTGAGTTTATGATTGATTATTCAATTGGGGTAATTTAAGAGCGGATACCGAGAGAGTAATACTAGCGGTTTCAGACAGCCAAAATCATCAGGCATATTTGAATGTCAATTTCACCCTTTTTTTAGCACCATGCTCAGCTTAAAATGTATTACAACAGAAAAAGAGGTAGCTGCAAAAAATCCTTTGTGGATTAGACCGAATACGCTTGATTGATTTTTTTATTTGAAGGGGGGGGGGGAGGGGGGGACCGGCTTGTCTTCATGAAACACAAAAAAATTTTTATTTGCCTTCTCTTTCATTCCTCAGCAGTTACGAATTGCTCCTGAATAACAAAAATATTTAAGCAGCTTCGACTTGAATGAGGATTATTCGTGGGAGGTTTCGTCAAAAATGTTTTTATGCAAAGCAATTAATCGCAGCCGACTTGTCAGAGAATTCCCTGCAATCAGATGCAGTTGCCAGACTTGGAAAACTTCCTATTATGGTTAATCACCGCGCCTCCACAATTCCCAAGACTTCATAATTGTGTAGGCGCATGATTCTTTGCCAAAACTCTACCTCAACATTTCCTTAAATGAAAGTTAACTCTAAATATGCCGCAACCACGCAATCTACAAAATATTTGTCACTTAGCTAAGACAAGACACAATTATTTCCCTGAGAAGAGTGATATATTTATCTGTAATAAACACAGTGAAAGTAATTTCTGACGTTTGAGGACGCGAAGGGCGTGCCAAAGTCAAATAGAAATATATCTTTGTTTACATAACTCACTCGAAAGGGTTTTTTTCATTTGCATATGAATCAAACTCCCTGGGACAGGTAGTATTTTAATTACTCTTTGTTCTTCGATAAATGAATTCTTGAAATGCTGTCTTTCAGGATCAAAGACGAATTATTCTTAATTGAAAAGGTAATTATTTTAAGACGAAAGATTATCTTTTGAGGAAACAAAGAAATTTAATTGCAACGTAAAGTCTTGGTAGTTTACATTGAGCTATCACCATAACTACTGTGTTACCATTCAACATCCTTTACGATCAAGTTTTGTTCCACTTTATTCCCTTCATAACGCTTTAGAGGGAAGAATGGCAAGAAATCAGATATGGAATCAAAAATTTCGATATGCGTGCGCGCAAAAGTTGTTTCCATTACAGATGCTTAGCAAAGATTGGTTGTTGTATAGCAATTACTGTCCAATAACTGCCAAAAGGATCCGCCGCAAACTGATAAGAAAAATCTCCGCCCTGTCTTGATAAGAAAATGAAAAAGGTTTTTATGATGCATCGAAACTGTCGCTACAGCATTGGGTGAAATATTTGAGGCAACCCACAGTGCAGTGAAGTATTATTTTCTTTATGAGCCGCTGGAAGTTGACAAACATAGTCCTTTATTTGCAATACATTGTTCCTTGGCTAAGTGACCCGGATTAAACTTATATTTTGTAAACGAAGTTGGGCTAGTGCTAAAAATACTTTGTAAAACCCATTAGACTGTTATAAGAAATGAATTAAGTGCGATATTTATCAAATTTGTTTTTAGTTGGTGTGGTCTGTGAGTTTAACACTGCCGAACAATCTCCGGTTGAATAAAATTCCTTTGGTCCAAAGTTTAGTTAATCACCTAGTGTCTTACCCCGAAACAGCGATGCATAAAATAGAATAAACTTAATCAAGTCCGCTCATCAGGGCTTCTTTGAATTACACAGCTCCTTTGCGGCAATCCCTCTGAGCGGGTCTTACTATCGGCTGGCCTGCTTATTGTACGCATTCGAATAAATATTTAATTATGTTCTGTAAAGGAGAATAAATAAATATGCCTGTTAACTTTCAAAAGCGTGAGCACGGTGTAGATTCCAAAGACAGCTTGAGTTGTGAGAGCTAAAATTACTCCAAGATTTGCCGAAACTTCGGTGATTTTTAATTTATGCGCAGCCATGCGAGTTCAATTAAAGATAGTCTACTATTTAGAACATCAATACGCAATTAAACTTTAAATGGAAACATGGCCATGGACGCAACATCTGGAAAACACTAATGTTGAATAAGCAATTTTTGTCGTAAAATAAACAGAATCCAAAAATTTTTCCTCGCTCGAAAACACGATTTGTTGCTATGATTTAATCCAATATTACGAAAAGTGGCTTTCCAGTAACCCTCTTACAATTCTAAATTCCAAACAAGATTACCCACGAAAAACAAACTTCGCATCAAGGAAAGATTTAGGGCAGAGTCTTGGTATAAATAGCTCAAGATTGAGGTTAAATTGGACGCCTTAGAGTAGAACAAACTTTTCATATTTTATGTTTTGTCAATTTCGATTCCGGTGTCGGTAACACAGTTAGCGTAGTCTGCAGGCCACCTAAGCTTACTATCACAGCTTTGGAGGTTCGCGCTTAAAAAGAATAACTTCGAAGTAAACACTGGTTGAACTTACCTATGACGAAGAAACTTGCCCCGCAGAAGAACAAGAACAACGGTGTCGAGACGCTCCACATCGCGCCCCCTTTTGCTGTTTAACACTGCTGCGTGTTTCAGCAAAACTTTGATCGGCCAAGGAAACAATATGGCGAGTTTTGTTTTGACACGTGCGTCGCGACCGCACAACGTTTGGTGTCGCGCTTTAGATTCTGGGTCAGTAGCTGTATATCACTGACGGACAAGCTGTGACTGGCTGCATTTCTCTTTGCGATTTGTTGACAGAAAAAATAAGTGGCGGTTTAATTGATGTCGGCCCGCATGCGCGGCACGTGACAGTTGATATGCCGGTTCAGTCTTTTAGAAGTGGTGAGAAGTATTAGAAGTTGAATGCTTCGCAGTCCCAATTTTTCTTTTTTTTTCCAAAATTCCCTGCAACGAAAAAAATAATAGACTGGTGCTTTGGTGCTTGAATGTTAATGAGCTCATTTTTATCAATTGATTTGCTTAAGCTTGCAAGTTTTAAAATGAAATAAAATCGCGTTTGGCTTACCTTAAAATTGCCCGAAAGGACAGGGTTTTGTGTTTGCTTTCCAGTATTTCCGGCGGTGAATTGTTTTGATACTGTAGACCCTTGAACTGACACAGTCCATCAAAAATATGTCAACATCGATTACAGCTCTCAATNAATCCAATATTACGAAAAGTGGCTTTCCAGTAACCCTCTTACAATTCTAAATTCCAAACAAGATTACCCACGAAAAACAAACTTCGCATCAAGGAAAGATTTAGGGCAGAGTCTTGGTATAAATAGCTCAAGATTGAGGTTAAATTGGACGCCTTAGAGTAGAACAAACTTTTCATATTTTGTTTTGTCAATTTCGATTCCGGTGTCGGTAACACAGTTAGCGTAGTCTGCAGGCCACCTAAGCTTACTATCACAGCTTTGGAGGTTCGCGCTTAAAAAGAATAACTTCGAAGTAAACACTGGTTGAACTTACCTATGACGAAGAAACTTGCCCCGCAGAAGAACAAGAACAACGGTGTCGAGACGCTCCACATCGCGCCCCCTTTTGCTGTTTAACACTGCTGCGTGTTTCAGCAAAACTTTGATCGGCCAAGGAAACAATATGGCGAGTTTTGTTTTGACACGTGCGTCGCGACCGCACAACGTTTGGTGTCGCGCTTTAGATTCTGGGTCAGTAGCTGTATATCACTGACGGACAAGCTGTGACTGGCTGCATTTCTCTTTGTGATTTGTTGACAGAGATAATAAGTGGCGGTTTAATTGATGTCGGCCCGCATGCGCGGCATGTGACAGTTGATATGCCGGATTCAGTCTTTGAGAAGTGGTGAGAAGTATTAGAAGCTGAATGCTTCGCAGTCCCAATTTTTCTTTTTTTTCCAAAATTCCCTGCAACGAAAAAAAAAATAGACTGGTGCTATGGTGCTTGAATGTTAATGAGCTCATTTTTATCAATTGATTTGCTTAAGCTTGCAAGTTTTAAAATGAATTAAAATCGCGTTTGGCTTACCTTAAAATTGCCCGAAAGGACAGGGTTTTGTGTTTGCTTTCCAGTATTTCCGGCGGTGAATTGTTTTGATACTGTAGACCCTTGAACTGACACAGATCATCAAAAATATGTCAACATCGATTACAGCTCTCAATTGACGAACAAATTCTAAGCCAAACTACGGTACTAAATCAGAATTTAAAAATAGAAATTTTGAGGTACCACTAGTCCTTTGTTAGGAAGGGAAAAATGTTTTAATGAAGAAGAATTACAAATATATCTGCGATATTTTCTCTGTTTTTGGGGAGAAATACAAGATAGGCTGCAAGACAAACCGCCAACAATCTCGTATTTGCATGCATGAACGATAGTATGATTCCCTTTCCCTTAAGAGTAGTGCTTTCGGAGAGGCAACTGGATTCCGAAATTTCGTAACTTCCTGTGGATACAAATATATTTTCAGAGTTTCTAAGATTTCCAGGATGTTATAGCGCGGTAAAACTGAAAAGTTCGTGGTAGAATGCCGTTACCCAGGAAGAAAAAATAGAAAGAGATATCGAAATAAAGAAAGAATAGGAAAAATATGCGATTACTTAATAACTCTGTTCAGGGTCACAGTTTACATTTTAGAACGTGGATGAACAGCATAACAAGGGATGTTTCGCCCTCAAGTTGGTTGCATACTTTGCCTGATGTGTTTCAAAGTGTTGAGGTTCTAAATCTGATTCCCACGTAGTCTTACCACTGAAATTTTATCCCTTTGCCTCTCGAAAGCTAAATAAAAGGTTTCAATAAATTTTTTTTATCCAAAATCTCGTCCATGGGAAGTTCACTTGAACATGCCCTTTCAATAATTCAAGGCAAAGGAAGAGGAAGTCAAAATTGTCATAGATAATGATAAAAAGGAGTAATTAAAAGTGCTATATGGAAATTAGTATCGGACATAACCCACACACTAAATGATTTATGAAAGCGAAAATCTCTTAAACGAGATGTTCAATTACCTGATAATTAACTTTAGCGCAAAAAGCAAAAAAAGAGGAATTTTTAGGCTCAGTAATTTCAAGCACAATCTTAATCTGCATTACTATTTAAAAGCAAAAATGAAAATAAAAATTGCCGATAAGCAAAATTACGTAACAACATCCCAAAACGATAACAATTAAGAACATAAATCTAATCATAGTTATGAACATTTTCACGGCTTGAGGTACTTACCTATGGCAGAGTTTGTTGTTTGAAAGAGATGAAATATTTCATCTTCTACAAAGAACTCTCTGAGACAATATATTCTTTAAACTTTCTTAAGAGTAGATGTCGCTGGGTATCGAAGTTACGCAACTTTCTTTCAAGGAAGATTCCTCCACTTCTTTAATTATTTATTTTATTCTGTTTAGTGTTTTTTTTAACTGAGTAAGGCCTTCGGGTTTCTAGAGGTCATGTTTAAGACTTCTCGAGTCAGATAGAGCCTGAATACAAATGACAGATAGCCACTACATGATTCTCTGATCAACTTTTTTCCGTAGTACTCGGAACAAACCTGGCATAGGAAGTGTACTGTCTCATTTTTCTCGCTTGCGAACCTTTACACAAGCGTGATCAGCTCTTCAAACAATGCTTTTTCGGAAGCTAACGTTATTTTTTATTCTCTCCGCCTCTCATAAAATACATTTAAGGCAAATTTCTTTTCAGAACCCAGACCGATGAGGCACGGCTTCAAGCACGTACCATTTTCCTGATATAAATCTTAGAAAGAATTTGTTAAAAATTATTTAAAAATATCTTATAGAGCACAAAAGTATCAAAACTTCAAACAGAATAATGTTTTAGTATCGTGAAAATACTCTAGGTGAAGAAATAAAATGTCAGATTGAGGAAAAAAAAAGTGAAATTTAGCGAAGCGCGGTTACCTCACCAGGGTGCTAAGCTTGAACTCAAGTTTTATCCTCGTTAAAAATTTGTAAGGCAAAGCAGTATTATAAACATACAACAGTAAGAGCCAAATATCAGCGAAAATTTAAAATGATAGGACGTTTACAGTCGGAAGGTAAAGCAGCAAATTTTTAGGGTCATTTTTTAGTAACTGAGTATTTTTTACAAGAAATAAATTAAAAAGGACTGTTTTTCAGCCCAATTGCAGGTGGAGCCATGGTAGGACATCATCTTTGAATACATCGATATCATATCTCCAGTTTTCATCATTTATGATTTCTAATATCAAGTTTTTATGGTTCTTTCCCGATTTTTATATCTTGCTGGTATGATCTAAACAATTAAATAAAGAATATTTCTCGTTTTAAACGATCGATTGAATGCAATGATGCTCATTAGGGAGTGACAGCTTTGGGCCATTTTACCATGATCGGTAAAAGATCCATCATTTTCTTGTGTTACGGTAATGTACGTTGTGACGACCTTATAGCCGAAAAAAACTTTGTTAAAACGAATCTACTGAAAACTCTAAGGCCCTGTAGGACTCGACTTTAGCTGAATTTTTCACTCCCAAGATCATGTTATTAATTCTGATTACTGACACTCTTTATCTTCTTAATGTGTTAACTCTGAGAATTTGATTTTAGATCAAACAACATTCCGTCGGTAATTGATATTTCTGTTTGAATTTCCACCATCCATCTCTCTGACACTTGATGATATGGGAAGGACAGGTTATTGGTCACTTTTGAGGGAAAAGGGGTTCCATTATTCAAAACGCACTGATTTTCACCTGCGTTTGGGTCCTCAAAGTGACGGTTTGCGTTGTGATTTATGTTAACCCCTTCCGCCTTAATAACAGCATGCATATTCTCCATACTGTTCCCTATTCATATTCTGTTGAAGTGACATGGAGAATTCGTCAAACAATCGGCCGAGAGCTTTTGAAATTTTCGTTCTTATCGTGACCTTGAAATGTGATTCTGCAGTGCTACTTTAAGGAAAAATCGGATGCTAGTCACTCTTTGCGTTTTAAGAATTAACGTAGTAGACACTGATATAGTATGGGAGGACATTTGTGGCTACCTGTGTTTGATACGAAATTTTATTAGTTAAGATGACAAGTGATGTCACGTCGCTATGAAGAGCAAGACTTGCCGAGAGAGAACGCTCATACAATGCAAATGAAAACAATCGTTTTGGAAACTATTTTGATTTGGAGGATTAAAATTCAAAAGTTAGGCGCTCAAGTGATCCATCTCAAAGGGATAAGTGCGAGCGGTGGTAACGATGACCCGATTCAACCAGCAGTTCTACTATCGCTGGACCACACTTTCCCTCGTTTCATGGAGTAAGATTCTTCAAGTTATTCTCAGGTTTGAAGAGTTTTCTCGACATGCCAGGAGGCTTATCGCGCTTGCATAAAATCTTCGTAAAAATTTTCAGTTTTCTGTGGACTCACTAGTACAATAAACAATAGATTTTTGACCATTAAGGGCCAGCATGATATCTCTGTTATATCTTGTAGAGTAAGTGGAACCAAATTGTTAACACCTGTAGACAGATGAAGTCGCGACACGTGCCACTCAAGTGTATATATACCTGCTGTTGATAAATGCACTGGTTTGCACTGGTTTATTTGGTGGTATATAAACATATATATATGAATATTGTGGTTTGTTAAGATTAAAAGACCAGACAAACAGCAATACCACAGGATAGATGGCATTGGCAGGATATCAAAGCAAGCCATGTTTTGGTTCGAAAAAACAAATAATGGAATTTTCAAACCTACTCAAACGCCAACGTGTGGTTTTGAGGTATTGTATCGGATTTGGAATATTTTTGCTTTGTGGCGAATTGTTTACTCCTTCTCGGGTAAATTTTGAAAACAATTTGGTTCTGTACGGATAAAACTGAATTTGATTAAAAACTTTGTCTTTACAATTTTTTTTGCTTCGAAATTAGATATAAAACAACAGGTGATACGAAACTTTTAAAAAAATAATTCTTCAAATTGCTGTCAATGAAATTTGTTTACCATTGAACTTCCTTAAGTCCTGACTAAAAAGATGTCTACAAATTTTCCTGAATAGCTCCGACTTTGGTACGTTGGTAAGGAATTCCATCGATTAGAACTGAAGTGAACTAGTCATTCCTCTTTTCCTGACAAGGTTAAGAACAAACTTTAGCATCCATTTAAGGAAAGTTCTCAGCTCAGAGAGGAAAACGAAGAAAGATTATGATTTAAGCTGCATTACGATGTTTTCTGCCAAATGTAAATAGAGTTTTGTGAAATTCAAACAACCATAATCCGGAAAATCAGGGGAAAGAGGATGACAAAGGGTTTTATTGGTTTCCTCTTAGCAGCTCTGTCACGAAAACTTCCAAAAGTAATTTTTTTCGCTTTGTTATCCCCGAAGCCATTATTAAACGAAATTGAAACTAGCGATAAGAAGAAATTCAGCCATTTGTTAGAGCGCACTGTGCCGCTCGAGGAATATATACAAAGAACTTCTTTCAAGTAATAAATAAAAACGTGAGAAAACAGATGCTAGATCGGCTTGTTTTCTAACTAAGAGACTAAGCTTATTATCTCATTCATAACCTATTTTTAGGTTGAATAATGTTATCACAAAAAAATGAGAAAGATAAGGTTATTTTTAGGTAGATCACCCTCATTTCATAGTTACTGTCATTGGCTGCCGTTTCGTTTGTTTTTAGAATTTATCTTGGTCTTCTAAATTTAGTTCCATATTTGTCTGTTTGCTTTTTGTCCTGTTCAAAACACGTTGTTCTGGGTGTCCAGTTAGTAAAAGGAATAGCGATAGTGGCGGAGGTGGGAATGAACAAGGGAAGTTTGGGTCGAGTCACGTTCTCTACGCGATCCGTCCCAAGCCTCCCTCGTTTTCGCTATTGCTCGGTTTACTATTTCGCTTTGTTTTAGTGATTTAAAGCCTGGAACAGGCTTGTCTCTTAATGAATTAAAAATAACTCTCTTCCGAGTTATGTTTTTCCTCAACAAAGTAAGAAAATGTGTTACAATATCTGCATATACGTAAACTGCTTGTAGTCAAAGACTTAAATAGGGGCGAACCTGATGGTTAAAAGTTTAAAAAACATCCGTAAATCCCTTCAACTGTCTTGTGGGAGCCCTTCTCTTGCATCTCATGCAATAGTGTACAGAACACGATAGTGTTTTAAATCAAGGATTTGCCTAGTAACTAGGTCGAAATCACATCTCTATGTCCCTGAAGGAGGATGCTATTGTATAAGCCCCATTACGTACTTTTGCTGCACCTGATGATGTGCGCCCATATTTGAATATGCGGGGTTTAGAACGTGGTTGACTGTGAGATGATTGTGATCGAATTCTTGCCTTCTTTCTGCAGTCCCTAATAATATACAGTTGTGACCATCTGCCTGAAAGGACGATACATGCCGAAAAATAAGCCATGACTTAGACTCGCTGAGCCCGGAAAGGAAACCACACTTCCTCCTTCTCACCTTCCTTCGATTACTGGTAACTTTTTCAAATCCGCTGACCAGTATATAACGCGTTGGCAGTCGCATGCGGTCAAGTCGAAAAAGGTTAATCCACGAATAGATTTATTTCAGAGATAATGTTTCTTATTCGTGGATCGTTTCTAGACGTTCGACAGCGTTCAGATTTTAGAATGAAGTTTTCACTGTTAAACCAATTCAATGCTGTTCCCGTGAAAGTAGCTGCCTCTCAGTGATTGACCTGAATGTAAAACCAGGGCACTTACAAGTCGCATATTGTAAGTGAAAGACTTCAAGGTTCTTCCTCCTCGATTCGATTGTAAAGAAAAGTCGTTATCGTTTTTCCTTTACAATCCTATCTGAGGCTAGTGATAAGTAAGGGCTCGCCAAAGGCTTGCGTATCGTAAGTTCGAAATTGATCAACGTGTTGGACGGATTCTCCGGAACGGTTAATTTGCTCCAGATGGTTTTTTAAAAGCAAGCATCGGAAGTCGACAGCCGCTTCCCGCCTAATGGTTGATACAAATTTAATTTCAAATGCTTGATCATAAGTGCCTCATATTTCAGATAACAAATTAATAATGATGCCTACCTCTTTTGCTGTTTCCTCTAGCGCGCAATGTATATAGGGATTCAAGAGACATTCATTGTCCTTACAAATATCATAAAATTTGCCGATAAGGCCTTATATGGAATTAGAGCGGCATTTTGATCTACTATTCCTGCTGTTATCGTGTAGAAATTTATTTAATTAGAGAATTGGTGCGAAAAATTTCTTCAAGCTAAATTGATGTAACAGAAAACATTTCGTCTTCGTTGAAATCCTGTCTAATACATCTGACCTGACGGCGTCAGATAAACTTCCAAAGTTGCAAAAATGTGAAAGAATGTGCACGTTTCATTTCCTTGAAACAAAGGACGCTAATTACATGGTGAGTATCATTTTCCTGCTGTTTTGTAAGTATCCTAGAGAGCTCGGCTGATATCATTTTGTGCTTTTAATTTTTTTGAAAAGCTCAAAACAATACAAACCAACGCTGACTTCGGGAAGCTACGAATTTCTCGCTATTAGTTGACTGTTGTGCGGTCGTGATGGTCATGTCGAATATAATTTTTCATAAGATATCTTAAGGCATTCATACTGAGTATGTCCAAATATGCTACAGACGACAATGTTAATCATAAACAAAAGGCCTTTTATTTAAACATATTGTTCTATAAACATGAAGCAGAAAATTGTCCCCTAGAAAGTTATTATTGAACCTCGTCATCTATCAAATGTTATTAAATGTAAACACTGCCATGTAAGCTTGGCTTAGGAGAGTTAGGACAGTTACAAGAAATTGCGAGTTTAAAGCTAGTCTTCTAAAAAGGTTTCCATATTTACATGGGACGATTAGTAAAAAATTTAAACCATATCTCATCCATGATTGCGTTATTTGCTGAAAATTCACCTTCAAGTCCTTTTAAGCGATGCATTTTCTCGAATCATTCTTGTTCTTTCTATTTGTATTTTTTTTTCAACACAATATTTTAAGAGCAGCTTCCTCTCATAATTCACCATTCCCCACCTTGGAAGCAAACGGCCCTTGGTAAATTTGACTATTTCGACGTTTGCCTTCGTGATATCTATTACTCTCTTGGTTGTTACACCGTGCTCGATTAATCACACTAAGGACTTTAAACAGTCGGAAAGGCAACATTAAGGAAGAGGTCGCTAAATTAAAAAAAAGGAATCTCCTTTTTTAGTTAGACTTTAGAAAATGTTTGGATGTGCTTACCGTCTCTTACGGCGTCACACCTCAACTTCAGCATGAAGCATATAGGCAGTTATGAGTTCCTAATAGAAATTTAGTTTTCGTTCGCAGACAATGCAAGTTTTTCTTGTTATGTAGAGGACGGCTAAGAAATGTACAGAGTTTTGAATGCAAGTGCTGAGCTATTTTTCTGCCTATTAGATCTTTTGTTTTGCCACGTCCTTGCCGCTGTCGCAGTCGTGGTTTGCTTAAGGTCCCCATTACCGTTCGTCAACGGTACTCTCCTAAGCTCAATGGTTTCCTTGTAAATCGTTCAAATCCTTTTACCTTGAGGGTGCTTAGACTCCCACGCTTGATAATTCATGATTAGAGGAAAAAAGCCGAACCTTAGTCTAAAATTATGCGACTTCCAGCTATCAATTAAACCATTAACATTATTATTAGAGTACTTAAGACCTGTGAATAATACCTGGAGATGGCAAGGATTTTGATTATATACCAAACCAACTTCAAAAGTTGCGTGTAGCACTAGAATCTGAACTGAGAATAGAAATGCACAATCATATAATAATTAAGTAAGTAATAGAAGTGTACAATTTCCTACCCTGGGGAACACAGAGTCACGGGAGTCTCGTTTCCTTGTGCTAACTCAAACTGGATTGTTTGAAAAAAAAGTTAGCTGCCTTAGCCTGAAATCCTTGAAGCTTTCCTGTACACTATAGCAAAAGCAAGCATTTGAAAACGATTGCAGAGCTTAAATCAGAAAAACTTTGCATTTCCTCAAGATCAAGCAACCTTTGAATTATATCTGCTGTTTCGTTACCTTTGATTACAACTGCCATTTATATTAGCTTAATATGAGCCATTACCGAGTATCTATTCTTGCCTTTCAGGTACAACAAAATAAGAGACAACGGCGTTTTGAGTAATCAAAATTCAGTTACTAGATTACATTGTAGAAAAAAACGACGCTCAGAAAAGGACAGCAAACGGCTTTCTATACGCCAGATCTAGGAACCAGGACAATGCCAAAGACGCTAAACACTGGCTGCAACTCACCACTGGTCAGTGTTAACTGGCTAGGATAAGATCTATTCGTAAAGATCTGATTTATCAAAAAATTTGGCAAGGTAAGTCAATGGCCTTTTGTCGAAATCGGAAAAGACTATTCGCATAAAGGCCTTTTCGGTTTTGAATTGTCTAGCCCGGCTTGTCTGTTCCAACAAGTAGTGAACGCCCTTTTGCCTTTCTTACGACATACCAATTGTAAGAGAGACAAAGAAACGTCCATCTGAAAGTGTCTGTACTAGGGATGTGTTCGGCAAGAGGGATTAATAAAACAGCAGCAGTTTGAACACGTCTGACTTGTATCAGCAAAAACATTTGGTTAAACCAAATACGGTAATCCAGGTGAGGAAACTCAAAGAAGAAAAGCTCGTTACACGCTTAGAGCCCGAGAGAGTTCCCAGATACACGGGCATGCTCGGATCAAATACAGGTATTTCTTTGTCTAACTTGGCAGCTATTTTTATGTTTGGCTTGGCCGTTGTCAAAGGTAGCGTACGCGTGTCGTCCGCCGTCGCGGTACTGTTCATCGGCGGTTCAGTTGTGTTCGTGGCGTTTATGGCATCATTCCCATTAGTGGAAATGAAAGTCGTCGGTTGTGTGAGGGTTGTCTTTCTCGTTGTTGACTGTCCACCATTCACTGCTTTTACTGTGGGATGTTGAAAATAAGAGGGTTATCATTTAGAAATAGAAGCTACCAGAAAGATAGAATATGAATAAAAGGATAAAAAAAGGTTAAAAGTCTTTAAATAAGACATCTTGAAGAGAAAGAGTATCTAAATCACTAAGATATATGCTATTCATCAATTACCTTTGATCGAGGACAAAGAACAAAGAAACCATTTAGAAAGGGGAGGGAGCCGTTTTGGCCCCATACCTACAATATATGATGTGACTGCACGATTACGCTGAAATGTCATGTTTTTTGTCGAGAACGAAGACCCGCGGCTCCCTCTCTCCCGCCCTGGGTCCACCCATGACCATGACAAGGGTACAATTTACCTACCACAAGCATACATGACGTTCAGATAAACAGATGAACTCCTTTGTTTAGCCGAGACGTTCATCCCTTCGCAAGGATTGCCAAAGTTGTTGTTCATTGCCGCGATCGAACAGATTTCCTTGTTGTCACATCGGGTCTTCAATATGTCCGTCACTTCTAATAGCTTACATCGCGGACTTGATACTTCTCCTTTTATACATATACTAAGCGATGATTCACCAAAGTCAGCACCCGCAATCTGAAGAACTTCAGACGATGGACGACAGGTCAGGTGCATCATGTCATTTTCACAGACGTACTTTGAGCGGACAAGTCGTCGGTCTATTTCTAGAAGTTAGATTTTCAATTTTGTAAAGACAAAAAATGAGCTGGTACTAAGGATCTTAGGAGAGTAGGACGAGTTTACTATTCAAAAGGAAACTGAGTTTTCATGCAGCAGCACTCAAACCTGGCATTTTCGCGTCTGCTCAGGTATAGATCAGAGATGACGTCAAAACGTATTACAGTGAAACGAACTCAACCGGGGCCACCCAACGTTTTTTAGCCGATTACGGAACAAAAGAATGGGAGTTCGTTTACTAGCGGTCAAATTAAACTGCTCGTTTGACTGCAGTCGATGTGAAGACATGCGAAAGCTTCTAGTTTTTTTCGGTGAAATAAATATGTTGTTCATTTCGTTTACGGTAAAAGCGAATAAATATTTACCTAATGGCGGCCGGTAATTTTGAAGACTGAACAGCCTCAACGTACATAAGTAGCGAATAATGCTGGGTAAGCTAATGAAATTTATTTTTCGAAACACGGTCTGGAATGTCGGGGACAAGAAGTTGTATAATTTACTGAGTATTGCTGCACGGAGTTTTGAAGACTGAACGAACTCAACGTAAATAAATTTACCAAATTACGGTCGAGTAAATTTTTATAACAAATATTTTTCGAAATAGGGTATGGAGTTTTGAGGAAGAAAGCTTATATAAGTTACCGAATTGTGGGGCCGGGAAGTTTGAAGACTGAACGGACTCAGACGTAAAGATTTTTATTAAATTACGAACGGGTTAACTTATATATATAAAATACATATTTCGAAACACGGTCTGGAATGTCGAGGATGAAAGCTTATATAATTTACCGAATAATGCGGCTGGGAATTTTGAAGACCAAACGGACTCATTATAAATGTATTTGCTGAATTGACACGGCCTGAAATTTTAAAGCCGAAACGGTTTTACCTCAAATCAGTAAATGTTTGAAACACTTCCCGACTTTCAAACTACAACGCAAACGGAATCAACCGCCGGTAATACATGCATAAACTAAATTTGAATAACCTGCGAAGCAAGCCCTGGGGGAAAGGAGGGGGATTGGGGCGAGGGGAATGTGCGGAGGGGAGAGGGAGGGCTTGCCACAGACCCCCACTAACCAACGAAACGCCCCCTATTTTCATATTTGTATCGTCTTGCATATGTCTGTCAGCGCCTCTTAAAATTAATAAAGGCTGACAGTTTCCAAAGAAACTGTTTGGGGCTGCGTCGGTGGGGGTAACGAAATAATTTCAATATATCAACAAAGTTGAAATGATAAATTGGCAGAAAATGCCTTTAAAAGCACACACAACCCACAATTCCTCTATTCGATCCGACGAAGGGCTAACGCTCGAAACGTCAGCTTTTATAATTGTAACGGTGGCCAATTTACTATTTCAACTTTGTTGATATATTCAAATTGCCTCTTAAAACTAACTAATCAGAAAGCGTCGTTAACGAGAGCTCAGTGAACCATGCAAACTGTCAAAACAACAACTAAAACTTGCTCCACGTGAGTGAGAAATTTCGGACGACAAC